CCAGGATGATCTCGAACTCTTGACCTCAAGTGATCCTCCCGCCTCAGCTTTCCAAAGTGCTGGGATTACAGACGTGAGCCACTGTACCTGGCCACAAATTTTATTCTTTTAAGTCAGAGGTAGTATAATAACAAAGAAAGTTAAACGGTTTCAGTACCAGATTATCCCAACTTCTCTCATCTCTCCCTTTCATTTGTCTTGTTTCACATAAAGCAATTTAACATATAATAAAGCAAAACAAGAGTTATCACTTCAGAGAAAAAATCTAAATTGTAGATTTATATTTAACAATTTTTGAATACAACATATAATTCTTGCCTTCTTTGGAGCAGTTACTGAAAAGAAAACATGTTTCTTCCGTTTTCACAGAGTATCTAAATACACAACCTCCATGAGTTCTGCCGAGGTGGAAAAAGCAGTGCAGATGGCCTTGCAGGCCTGGAGTAGCGCCGTCCCTCTGAGCTTTGTCAGAATAAACTCAGGAGAAGCGGATATTATGATATCTTTTGAAAATGGAGGTATTGTGGTACTTGGATTCCATCTACTAATTCAAAGGAGAGTTGTCCCAATACTGTTCCTTCTACATCTTTAATTCGAGTGATCACACACTTCTCCTTCACACCGTACTGTGATGGGCCAAGGCCAAGACCATGACAAAGCCATGATCTTCCTCTGGCCGGAAAATAGAATCAAGAAAATAGGAATTCTTAGCATGTCTTGTCATCATCAGATACAGCTGTAGAGTAGATTCACTGTAACAAACTTTTATTATGACTTTGCCCCACTAGGGGACAAATTCTTGCAGATTTTGCTTTCCCGTTAGCCACATGACCTCATCCATTCCCATGATGGTGTTTATCACTTATATACCCCCCTCCATATTAGCCAAGAATATCCCACCATGAATCCTCACTGAAGGAAATACCTTCCACAGTGACCTTGATACAGCTTTCCCCCTGCAGCAATGGTTAGGAAAGTGTCGTTCCTGTCTTGCCCACACTTGCAGACCACCTTTTGGGAGATGTGTGAGAGGTCTGCCTCCAACTTTCCCACTTCTTCTCCATTCCATTGCTCACCCTGGTAAGGAGTAGAGGCGTAAGTTTGCACAGGGATTGGTGAGAGCTCTGATCCCTTTTCAGAGAAGCAAGTCTAGGAAATAGATAAAGGGAGGGCCAAATGGCTCATGAAATTTCTTTTCCTTCTCAGCTTCGTAATAGTCAGGGTAAGTGACAGCTACTATCTATTCCCCTCCTCAGATAAGATTTCTAAGTGTCCTTGTCATTTCAAGTCCAGATCTTAATTTGAATCTGATGTCACTGGGGGGAAAGCACGCTTAGGAGCTAGGAGAGAGAAGATCAAGCAAGTTCTGAGAATAGAGCCTTTAGAAATGGTCCTGAGTGCAACCTGGCCCAGGGCAGGTCCTATTCCTCCCAAAGGACAAAGGCCACCCCTGGTGAAGTGGCAGGGAGGGCAGTGTGACTTGGGGTAGCTTTGAAGGCCAAGGAATGAATGTCTGGCTCTCTCTTGATCTTTCAAGCTTGCAGTCTGTCCCCTAATACATAAGCCAACACAGGGACTGTGCTAGTCTACTTAGTTGTGATGCCATTGCATGAAGTCCTGTGTGCATGCACCTGAGTAGACTGCATGTCACTGAAACCTGAGAAATGGCATACCAGAACTTTGTTCTGTCGGCTCAAAAAAAAAAAAAAGAAAAAAAAAAACAAACAACTAACTAAAACTGGGTATCCTTACTAAGGTTTTTTAAAGTGGTAAACTATAACCCTCATTTTGTTCTTCCTCCTCCTCTTCTATTAAATCTGTAATGAATTGTTAATTAAAACAGATAATTAAACAAAAACATAAAAAAGCTTCAAAAGTTAGGATTTTATAAATGCCTTTATGACTTTCATAAGTTTTCCACATGAAAGTATGTCAAAATTACAGATAAATTTTTGACACTTTCTTAAACTGTATTGTGCTATAGAAACAAAAAGCACACACTTGTTCAATTCACTATCACTATCTCAGCTGAATCAAATTTGAAAGGTCATTCTGCCAACAGGTTCACATTTCAATCAGTGGAGTAGGTTTTTCCATCCAATGCCCCCCGGTTAGTTCTCCTTTTGTAATCCATGGCATGTGCAAAGTCCACAGTATCCTATGTGTCAGTTAACAGATGTTGTGATAGCAACAATAACCCAAAAAAGGTGTTTTTTTAATTATTATTTTTAATGCTTACTATCTTTGCAGTATGAATTAGCCTCTTTTATTTTTCAATGGGCAGTTACTCATTGACAAGTGAACTTCCTATTATAACAAATAAATACTGAAAAGTAAATTGAAGTGTCAATGCTATTCAAAATGTCCATTTTCTGTAATATGATGTGCCCTCAAAATTGCTAGAAGGACTCAATCCTGTTGGCCTTTCTCCCCACTTGTTTAGATCATGGGGATTCCTATCCATTCGATGGGCCTCGGGGGACTCTAGCCCATGCATTTGCTCCTGGAGAAGGCCTGGGAGGAGATACACATTTCGACAATGCTGAGAAGTGGACTATGGGAACGAATGGTATATATGCACAATTCACCATAACCTGGAAAATATTGTACCTTCTTCTGGGCTCCATCATGAAACCTTGAGGTTCAACGTCCCAAGCCACCCTTTAACTAGGGGGGCTGGCTAGGAAAAACAAGTAAGCCAAAAATCCAAAAGGGATCACATAAGGGAAAAAAATCCACCCCAAATTGTGTTGTAGACTTGTCTGATCTGTTTCATAGCATATCATCTGAAGAAATGGTCATCCCCTTTTCAACGCACTGCTCTCGTTTCCTTCAACAACCTAGTATTTATGATTTCTTACTTGTTCTTGGAAATAGGCTACATTCAGAAATGACCCAAGAGAATCAGTACTGTCCTGAGAAGTGTGATGGGGATGGGAATAAAGGTTCCAGAATATCATACAGGTCATCTGGAAATCTTCAGTGTGAAACATGTGGATCAAAAGGTGTAGGCTGTAATAGCAGGGAACTATTAAGGCATTTGTGGTCTAAATTTATGAATTATTCCCAAATATCATTGCCACTATTTGCTCCAAGGCTCTCCTTTATCAGTCTACCAAACATCACTGATGATGAGCAAAATGGATTGATGTGCATTTCCATCCTCCCCCACCTCCAACCCCCTTCTAGCCAAGAGGGGGAAAATTTAAGTCACCAAAGCTAAGTGCCAGAATAACTTACCAAAATTTGAATAATCCAGTTAGGAAAAGGAGATGAGTTAACTGTGATGTGGGCATAAAATATCCTATAAAGATGGAAGATGGAGAAAACAAAAACCTGTGGTGATACTGTTTTTTCTCTGTCATATTGTCTAGGTTTTAATTTGTTTACCGTTGCTGCTCATGAATTTGGTCATGCCCTGGGCCTGGCCCATTCCACAGACCCATCAGCACTGATGTACCCAACTTATAAGTACCAGAATCCCTATGGATTCCACCTCCCCAAAGATGATGTGAAAGGGATCCAGGCATTATATGGTAAGATTATTACCTTCTTTGACCACTAACCCTGAAATTGGCAGGCATTCAGTCTCCAACTTAAAGAAAGTGCATTTTATCTGCATTGGTAAAGATCAATCTAGAAACCATAGCCCCAACTATGCCTTCTTGTGAAGAGCTCATTTGCCAGTTATAAATGTGTGTGTGATGTGTGATTAAATTTTACACCTTTCCTTTAGAGCATATTAGTCCTGGATAGCCTTAAAAAATATAGTCATTTGTCTGTTTGTGTTTTTCCTTTGAGTGCAGGTTAGAATTTACAAATTGGGAGAGGATGGATGTAGTTTATAGTTCATATACGTGGTGCTTACCCATTTGCAGATAAGTGACCTTATCTCCCTAAAAATAGCAATCATGATTAAAATAACTCCACGCCCAGCCATGTAGCCGATCTGCAGTTTACAAAACAGGTTCATGTGTGTAGTCTTACACCAGCCTCACAACTAACCTGTGGGGTGTGAAGTGTTTTCCTCGTTTGATAGCTGAGAAAGCTGAGGTTCAAAGGCAGTAAGTATCCTGAGATAAACTACCTCAAGTATTAGCATTCTTCTAAAAGGTAATGAGGGATTATTAGAAACTCTGTATCCAATTTTCCTTAAGGGAAACAAACCAATTAATCCATCAGAAGGAATCTTGAAACATCCTTAGACCTTGACAATTTTTCTTTAATGGATAAAAGGCAAAAAGATCTAGGAAATTGCTTTTCCCTTGAGCCCTGGAGACCTGGTTATTAGGCTTCTGCTTATCAGAGCCTCTCCCCATCTTCTCAGTGCCTAGAGACCCAGATCCCCCAGCACCTTCCTGGGGCACTAGGAATCTGGCCCCAGGAGATCTGGAGGGTGGGAAGCCCAGAAATGGGCACACCATTCAAAATCAGTCAGATTTCACCTGAGGCACAAAAGGCAAATTTCATCCCAAGAAGTCTTCAGCCAGCTCTATCCATTTCCAGGAGGGGGAAAGCACCAGATCTGCCTGACCCTTGAGGGACAGGAAAAACACCATGAATGTCACAAACTCAGCTCCAGAGTCTTGGTGGCAGTGCTCCAATGGGAAGCAATTTCTGTGGGCCATCGAGAAGGGCTGAGCTCAAACACTTGCCTTTAGAGGTCCTTGTGCTCTGGAAAGTCACTGCCTTCGGATGGCCACTGTTACTCGGCCAGGAGGCAAAGCACATATTTTGGCACAGCTATTATGACACAGGTGAATGAAACATGAAAACATGGGTTTATGTTACAAGGAAGCATTCATATCACCCAGATGATCGCTTGCCGCTGCTGACCCTCTCCAATTTCCAGCTTCCATCTTCTCCCAAAGCCTTACCCCGCCTCCGATCTTCGCCTTGCTGCTAACCCTACTCCATCCCTGATCTCAAACCTCATCTGACCCTTATCAGAGGCCTGAACCTTTCCCTTCCCTGTGCCTCATTCCTTCCCTGACTCTCACCTGTGGTTATGACGAGGCCTCATCAAAGAGCAGGGACCCGCCAGAGGCGACAGTCCAAGCTGTGCAGACTCATTCTTCTGGAGCTGGGGCAAGGTCCTCAGAGATGCAGAGCAGGAGGGGAGACTCACTGACAGCTCTCGCAAGATTTGGGTCCATGTTTTCCAAGACGATCCACCAGAAGATACCTTTAAGTAACAAACACTTTCAGTGTACTTCAATTCCACAAGAATTCGCTCAGTTTTTCCTGGATGCCTAGTAAAAGACAAAAGCACAGGGCAGGATGCCAAGGAGTCTATGAAAATAATAGGAAAACACATAAGAAAATTTTCTTATTGAGAAAAAGAGAACTTAATTACAAAGAAATAATCCATGCCAATTTTTAAATTACATTTCTAATCTGGAACACTTGTAGATATCAAAGAAGTTCTATAATAACATAATGATCTTTAGAAGACTTACTATGTGCCAAGCACTCTGCTACCCGCTTTACAGGAATTATTTAATTCTCACAACAGCCTTCTGAGGTGAGTACTATTTTCATCCCTCCCTTTTAACAGGTGAGGAAGCTGAGGCTTAAAAAGTTAAATAATGTGCGGCAAATCACACGGCTCAGCAACCAGGAGAGCCAGGACTCAAACCCCGGTCTACCTGCCCTCAACAGCCATGGCTATGATCACATGTCCAGGGTGAAAGTGTACAACCTCCCCTGGGGCTCTATCTAGAACAGAAGTGTGTGAACTCCAAATTCCCGTTACCATTTTGACCAAGTCATTTTGAATCCTAGGACCTCGGAAACCATTCCTGGGGAAGCCCATGGTGCCCCATGCCCCCCATCACAAGCCATCCACCCCCGACCTCTGTGACTCCAGCTCATCCTTTGACGCAGTGACAATGCTGGGGAAGGAGCTCCTGCTCTTCAAGGGCCGGTAAGCCTCAGACGCGCCACCGACTCTCGTTGGGCCTCATCTCCACTCCCAGATAAATGTCGTCCCACAGGTCCTTGTTGCTGCCGTGTATGAAGATCATGCAGAAATGCTGTCCTATGCAGCAGGAGGGTGGTAGGCAGGGGTCTTTGGGGGAGATAGAGAACTGCCAAAGCTACTGTTTGTGGTGCACCTACTGTGGTCTTGCTACTGTGCTAAGTGATTTCCATAAATGGACAATATTTATTCTAACCCTTTTCACTGTAGAGATTAGAATCCCTAATGTGCACATAAAGAAAGCAGATCAAAGAGAGCAAGTAGGTTTCCCAAGGTGACAGTTAAATGGCTGAGCTAGGACACCAGCCTGAATTGATCTGATGTCCGTTTTGTTTAATACTTTATCCCTAGTGAGTGTGCATAGCAAATGCTCAATAAATACTTGGTGAATGAGGGTTGGCTAGCTGGATGGATGGACAGATAGGAGATTGGATAAAAGGATGGATGGATGGGATGGATGATCAGATGGATAGATAAGTGGGTGGATAATTCCAAGGCCAACATTCTGAAACTCTTCCTCTTCAATGCCTCTGGGCCTTTCACCCGTCAGGTAGCACAGAGAAGGCAGATCCCTATTCTCCCCCAACTCTGGCTTCTTGGGGAGTATGGCTGTTTTCTCCATGATGCTGGTTACTCTAATTACTTCTTCCCATGGAGGCAAAGAGAAACACAGCAACATTCACCCTATTCCTCCCTTTGCTGGAGACAGAATTCAATCACACCAGAATAGGCAGAGGCATCTCAGGAGCATTCATGTGCGGCGTTATTCCTTCTACTTCTTCAATATTGCAAAAGTGTTTATGGAGCCCATTGTGGTTTTCAAGCAGTGTAGTCTTTAGGGGTATAAAGATGGATTGATACCTGTCCCCCACCTTTACATACCCCTCAGGTATATGACTCCAAAAGCCCTGCAAGATAGTGAGACATGAGCTCTAAAAGTTAGGCCCATGAAACAAAACAAGAAGCAAGTATCTGGGAAGATCTAGAGAGAATTTCCCAAGGAGGTGACGTTTGAGAAATGTGACGTTCCTTATCTTGTATGCTTTTGGGGATATATTGCTGAGCTACTATTATAAGAATACTTTTTGCTCCTTCCGCACAGAAAGTAACAAAGTAGTTTTAAAAAAGCAAAATTTACCCAGAATCGCACCACCCGGAGTGTATCAGTCTGCGGGATTGATACCCATCCATCCTTTTATCCAGTCTCCTATCTGTCCATCCGTCCAGCTAGCCAACCCTCATTCACCAAATATTTATTGAGCATTTGCTATGCACACTCACTAGGGATAAAGTGGACATCAGGTCAATTCAGGCTGATGTCCTAGCTCAGCCATTTAACTGTCACCTTGGGAAACTTACTTGCTCTCTTTGATCTGCTTTCTAATACCATAGACCAGGTAGCTTAGACAAGAGAAATTTATTCCTCACAGTTTTGGAGGGTAAGAAGTTCAAGATCAAGGTATCTGCAAGGTAAGTTTCACTCTGAGGCCTCTTTTCCTGGCTTGTAGGCAGCCGCCATCTTGCTGTGAGCTCGCATGACCTCTTCGTGTACAGCGAAAGAGGGAGCAAGCTTTCCAGTTTCTCTTCTTATAAGTGCACCAGTCCCATCATGGGGCCCCTACCTTCATGACCTCATGAGTCAGGAATGTTCTCTTCTAGCACTAACCCTAACTACCTCCTGAAGGCCCCATCTCCAAATACCATCCCACTGGGGGTTAAGGCTTCAACATAGGAATCTGGAGGGCACATAACGCAGAGCATTCCCATTGTTAACCATATTGTTGTGTGTCCCCCAGACGTTTTCTCTGGATAGAGAGCTAGATATTGTACATATGGGAGTGGGGTGCAATGATTTCCACAAAAATAGAATTTTACTAGTGGTGTTGATTTATAAAGTTTTTTCACTCACAAAATTTTATTTTTTCCTGTCAATGAATTTTAATTCTCATCCTTAGATATATCATTACTTATTTAATCAGTCCCATACTGGATTATTTCTAATTTTTAAAAATTAGAAAGAGCTTGAACTAAATCTTTGACAATGGACAGACATTCACTTTTCAAATGCAAATTAGAGCCAGGCCCAGGAACCCAGGCTTTCACAGCAGAGTCAGTGGGATTAAGTTCTGGCCCTACCGCTTACTGATGAGGTGATCCCCAGCAAGTAATATGCCAGACACATAGTGTCAATAAATGGCAGTCACTATTCTTAAGAGTGGGAATCAAAAAATATTTATAATGGCAGGGAGGCTTATAAACAGCTTCAGGTATTTAGAGAACTCAATTGATTCTTTTGTGTTATTAATTTTCTGATGATTATTTATTTTTAAGACACTGACCATTGATGTTCTTTTTCTTGAGTATTACCAAAAAGTACATCAAATGGAATTGGTAGGCAACGACCCAGAAGTAGTAGACCAGGTAGGGCAGGAGGAGCTTGGAGCACAGATCTTAGTAACCTTGGCTTCATCTAAGGGATATCATTCAGGCTCCACTCTCCCAGACACTGAAATGGCATGTAGCACTCATTCAGTGATAAAGCAGTGAGTTGCTAGCCATCATGCAGGGTGTAGCTTATTCTTCTGGTAAATATCAGAGGTTGTAGTGGGGGCAAAGGAGACAGTGAAGTCAAAGATATGATACCATTTCATTCAATGATCATTGTTTTCTTAAAAAAGTAAAAAAAAAAAAAAAGCCTTCTGTTTATCAAACTGTAAGCATTTAGCAATTACTAATGACAACTTGAAGTCGATACATCTTTTGACATAGTCTTGTTCATAAATACTGAGGGTAGTAACAGACTAGTAAGTGAGGCATTGGTGCAAGAGACGTCTAGAAACAAAAAATCAGCAGAGGGGCTACAGAAGGAGAGATGGTCTGCTACCACGTATGTATCTGCTTAGTCACCACCTTCTCATCTTCTTCCATTTCAGATTCAATGAGCTATTGGGGTAGGGCAGATGATTCCAAAGAACTAGCACAAGCTATAAGCAGGATGGGGAGTCAGGAGTGGTCCCTTCCAGCGCTGGACCACTAACTCACCGTGGCACCTGGAGCTTCTCTTCCTTTTCTATAAAGTGAGGGAGTTTTCTGTTACTAATAGTGACTTAAAAGTGTTCAGTATTTACTATGCAAAGTGTTCAGTACTTACTATGCAAAGCGTTCAGTACTTACTATGCAAAGTGTTCAGTACTTACTATGCAAAGCGTTCAGTGCTTACTATGCAAAGCACTACGTTATCACATTCTTACAATTCCCCTGTGAAGCCTGAAATATCATTCCTTTTACAAGTGATAGAAAGGATAAGCAACTTGTTCAAGAGTACACGGCTAGTAAAGGGTGGAGCTGGAATTCAAACCCAAACTAGCAAACTTCAGAGCCCGTGCTCCTAACTACCTTGCTGTACTACCTCCTAAGATGCTGTCCAGAGCTGGAATCCCATGACTTTTTAGCTCCGATCCCCTACCAGCTGCCGCTAAAAGTCCCAAAGTGCTTGCTAAGCCTGGACAAAGAACAAAGAATTCTTTCAAGCCACAGTTATAATGGCAACCAGGGAGCCACTGATTATGAAAGAGCTCCCAGTCTGTTCTCTCCCACTTAACAGCCTGGAATTCCCCGTCACCAACAATAGTCTGTTGATGGGACATTTCAAGCTATGAGCATAATAACCACATGGTTTGTTTCCAAAGCAAGATGGAATGCAGTACCTTTTAAAGTAACCGTGAGATTGTCAGATATTCTCCATAGCGTGTAAACGTACATTCATACGTTCCGTGTGAAGGGAAATAAGTGTTAGCTATAATAAGTTGAAGGATAGATAGATAGATAGATAGATAGATAGATAGATAGATAGATAGACAGACTTAATGAACACACACTTACTTTTTATAATAGGTGACAAAATTATTAAGGCTATATCAGATTTCCTCAGTCACTTAGGGAAAATAAGAGAGAAATGACTGGAATTGTAACCATACCAAAATTATATTTGCATCTATTATATTATGTTGGGTTTGGCCCAATATAATTTTAAGGGTAAAATCAAGAATATCACACATAATCATCTATAAATCTTAGAGGTACAATAGATTTTACAAATAGAGTAAGCATAAAGGTCGATCATGTCCAAGTCCTTCAGTGTAGAGATAAGGAAAATAGGCACAGGTCTTTTAGCCCTAGCAGACCCTCCCATGAGACCCAGGTCTTCTGACTCCAGTCCAGAGTCTATCCTAGCACTAATATAGAAAGCTTTCTGCCTATGAAATGGAACTACCAAGAAAAGCACTGAAATTTAACCTGAATGAACATATGCCCATTGACTGTTACGCATTTGAGTTAGTAGAAGAGCACTTTCAAGCTGTTCCTTTGCTTTCACGCCCTCTGCTTGCAGATGGGGTAACCAACCACAAAGAGGAGGATGTTCATAGACTATCTAGGTTTCCCAAGAATGTCTAATATGTTTCTTCACATTTGTTTTTTTTTTTCAAAATAGGATTCTATATATATTTTTTAATCTGTAACTAATTGTCAAATTTCAAAAGATGTTATGTATCTTAAATTAGAAGGCAAAGAAAAACATTTTTAAGGGTTATGCAAGTAGGAATTGGAGAGAACAATGGATATATTAATAAAAGGCATTCTAAGGACTCACCAGCAGGATTAGGACACTAATTTGGTGAGAAGAACAATATAAAAGGAAGAGTTAAAGCAGGTAGAAGCCTCATGGCTGAGAGTATAATATACAGCATTGTTCTCTCAGAAAAATTGAGAGAATTTGTTGGGAACACGATGTAAAACTCAGGGTGAGATGTATCAGATTCAAAGCAATGACAATTTTCACGGAGTTTCATAGAAATAAGCTAGTGCTCAGGGAAG